TTTTAAAACTGGTACATTTCTTAAAATCAGTTTATTTCTTAAAATCAATTTTAAAAACTGGTTTGGTTGTGAAACTGGTTTTAAACCAATTATAAACCTATTTATTACAATAATTCAGTTTTAAACCGATTTATTAAAGTGGTTCAAATAATTTATAAACTGGTTCAATTTAATAAAATAGTGTGGTTCAGTTCAATGTAATTTTTTGAAAAAACCAAATCATACACACCCCTAATCTTAGGAGAATGAAATTTGTATACTGAGTAGTTAATTTCTATTATTTTATTGACTATATTGTAATTTTAGTCACTCAATTTTATAAAATTTATAATTTTATTTTACTTATCGAATATTTATTACATCGTTAAAATTGTAATGTTGGTAATGATTTAAGATTAAATAAATGACATATAATAATAAATATTTAATAATATTTAGACTATATTTTACTTTTAATTTAGTTTTTTTTAATCTCATAAAAGTGATAAAATAAAATAAATAGAAATTAAAAGTATAATTTAGTCTAAATATTAATTATCATGTCATTTATTTAATATCACATTAAGTTTAGCATTACAATTTTAACAATCAATAGATGAATATTCGACAAGGAATAAAAATTATAAGTTTTATAAAGTTGAAAAACTAATTTTATATAGATGAATAAAAATGCAATTTAGTCTATTTTATTTAAAATTTTAAATTTGTACATAATTAGAATTTTATTTGTTATTATTTTTAGTAGATATTTTATCTTGTTATTAGAGATTTTATCTTTATTTAAATTCTCATATTATGAAAAATTAAAGTAAGTTTATTAGCTTGCATGTCATTTTTGAATTATATTATTTTTATTTTTGGATAATCATGTTTTAAGTGTAAAGTATACATCTAATTTCACTATTTTTAGTGAACTTTATTCTCATTTACAATTTTATTTTTTCATTTAAAATACTTAAATTTAAGATTTTATAAAATTCAATTTAAGTTCAACTCACACGACATGTTGATGAATTATGTTAGTTGTTCTATTGACATTATAAATAAATCATTAGTATATAGTTTTTATAATAATTTAATAATATCATGTTTCTTCCCTTAGAAAGTATTTAAAATTTGAATTAAAGGGACGGTTGACCTTAAAGTAGTATTATAGCCATAGGTTTATTAATTAATAGAGCATCTTGCATTAGGAGCACTCTTGGACTACCTTGCACATCAAGTGGTAATAACAATAAATAAATAAATAAGGTAGGGAGGATGCCTTTGGGACAAAATTACAAAAATAATGTGAATTTCGTTATATAATTGGTGCATATTAAAAGTAAAATAATACATAAAGTTACAAAAATGATACTTTTAATTTTAAAGTAAAAGAGTAGAAACATTCGAAGTGTTCTATATTCTTTTCTCCTATATCAAACTTATGTAAATATTACCAAGACATTGTGTTTCTTTTTCTCTCTGTATTACATTTTTAAAGTATCTTTATAACATTCAATTCATTATTTTATTTTATTTTTTTATCAGTTAAAAGAAATGTATTAAAGAGGTACTAGGGGTGTCAAATTCAAATACAAAAATGTTGAAAAATAAGAAAGGAGTTACAAATAGTCTTATACTACTCCAAAATTTTATGTTCCTATTATGAGTAATACAAATTTCTGTTGCGATATGGTGTAAAGCATGCCTCCCACATGACCCATTGCATGTTGATGATGACTTGATGTGTCCTATTGCAATCATTGAGTAATCAATTACACGGAAGCCCATAGAATCTATCATCCATGTGTCCACTTTCTATCATCCTGAATATGTTGAAACTCAAATCGCAAGACAATATAATCCCTTACTTCCCATAAAAGATTACCAAAGGAATTCCAACCTATTTACAAATTATAGTGCTAGGATACACACTTGATACATGATTTTATTCTTTCAACTTTTAATTTTATAAAATCTTCAGGTTTAGTCCAACAGTTAAATATTTATCTATTAAAAATTAAAATTATGACATTGATTATAATGTCACAATTAATATTTAATTATTTAAATTAAATTATATTTTTATTTCTTTATAATATTTAATATATAATTTTGATATCTTAATTTTAATTCTAGTTCTTTTAATTATCTAATTTTAATCCTAGATTGATAGGAGATTTGAGCTCATGACTTCTCTCTTTCACAACTTAAATTATTAAGTTATTTGCTTATATTTTTTATTATTTATAAATAAAGAAAAAATATATTAAGAAAATGGTCATTGTAAGAATCAAACCCAAATCTCGCTTCTAACTACTCAAATCCTTTTTTCTCCCAAGCATTATATTATAAACACTATCATCTATATATAAAAAATAAATATAATTTTTAAATACTTATTTAACATTAGAAAATATAGTTTAAAAATAATAATCAATAAATTTAAATAACAGAAAATAAATATACATTTTAATAAATAAGTAATCTAATTTATTATTTTGTGTATATCTTCATACAATAAATATAAACATGCAATTATTTTTGTCTTTCATCTTTATTGTTCCAATTTTTCTCATAATTTCTACCAACATCAATGTTGCTACATTATTTATTTTAATACTATTTATATTATTTAATATATTAAAATAATATACTATGCTGTTTATTTTAATTTAAAAATTTATTTAATAATTCTAGCCTAATATTCGATTGAAAACTTACAACAAATTTTTACATTTTTCAATCATTTTAACATGTAAACCACTCTAATCAGTCTATGCTCTAAAATATTATTATACAACTGCATAAACATATTTCACGCATTCAAAACACAAAATAACAGAGAATCATACCAAACATCCACTCTTCATTCAATTAATTTTATTATTTTAATTTTAAAATTCATTAAATAATAAAAAAATTAAAAATAAATAATATAATATTAACAATGTATTAAATAAAATATGAGAAAAAGTGGGGCTAAAAAAGGAGATAAAATATAAAAGCAATTGTATGTTTATATTTATAGTATAAAAAAATATATTAAGTAATACGTTAATAAATTAAAAAAATGTATATTTTTTGTTATATAAATTTATTATTTATTATATAGAAACTAAATTTAATTTATACCTATTATAAAGGGGATATAGGAGTATATAATCGTTTTTGGTCTTCACTTTTTAGGGGACCATTATACTTCTCAAATATAAAAAAAAAACTTATATCCTCTTTGAATAATTACAAACAACTTTCTAATATTTTGTTCATATATAACTATTAAATACACGAAATGTTTCGATCCCTCTAATATTTAGGTGGTGAAAGAAAAGGAAGAGGTCATTGTTCATCCCCTGCAATTACTTTTACTATTTTTTAAATCATAAATATTATAAAAAGATTAAAATCACGTATTAAATATTATAAAAAGATTAAAAATATAATTTATTTTAAATATTACTAAATATTAAGTCATCTATTTAATGTGATATTATAATCAATCTTATAATTTTTATAGCTAACAAATGAATATTTAATTAGACCAGAACTGTGAGTTGTGAATGTTAAAAAATTCAGAACAAAAATTGTAAAATTAAAAACTGGTAAAGCAAAGATTGTTAGGGAATAAAAAAGTATTTTTTTCCTATTGTTTTGAGACATTGATCAATTGTAGAACAAGGTATAATAAATCTTACAGCAAGTAGTCAATTTATAAATCTTCTTAGCATATCCAGGTTCTATGGAATATTTAACAAATCTTGTGTACAAAGATTCATCCCAAGGATCTTATGCTATATATCTAGCACCCGTGTGGACCAGGCACCAAGCACCCTCATGAATTTTCATTGTCCTTTTTCTTTTTTTTTTGAGGGGGGGTCTATTAGAAAGATATATTCTTTGTGTTTAGTGGTAACACGAGAATAATGAAACATTAATGATCAATGTGATCTTTGAGAGATTGCCTATAAAGGAGTCAACGTTGATGTCCTTTCGTTATTAAGGAGACTTGGTGGAGTAATTCATATCACTCTTTTAGAATAAGAAAAGGAGAGGAAACCGTGTAGATTGTTTTTATTGGGTGTGAAAGCAAGGACATATGTTTTGAGAGACAACAAAATGTTAATGGACCACATGTTGGAAATTCTCTCCCAACATTTTGCGAGCCTCACGCCCAATGATAATGAATAATCTCAATCACATATAAAAATAATGATACTAAAGCTCAAAAAGAAGACAACAGCATTTAAGCCCAACTGGACTAGTTGCCTCTTTAATAAACATATCTACGGAATGATTGTGATAGAAATAACCTATGAATGTTTTTGCAGTTTTTAAAATTTATTATTTAAAAATAAAATAAAAATATATAATATTATATTATTTATTATTTAGTCATCATATTAATATTATATATATATATAGTTAGTCCCTTACAGAAATCATTTTCAAACATTATAAATAACTCATAATTTTTTTATTTTAAAATTCAATTTAGTAACTTACAATTTTATAAAATACCTTTCAAATATTATAACGGATATTTAAAGAAAACAAAATACTTTTTAGTAACCAACAATTTTAGAAATATATTTATAAATAAATGCAATTTAATTTGGTTTAAAACAATTTCACATTCCAATCCGAAAATTGAATTAAACACTTGTTTACGATTTTGCATCAATTTTTTTTATATTATTTACAATTTTTCATTTGAGTTGATTAATTTTCAACATCCCTACAATTTACAAACTAGCTCCATGACTAATTAAATTTTTTTCTCCAAACCATTTCAATTTACCCCCTTTTATCTTCATCTACGGAGTCGATGTTCTTAGTTGTCTATCTCTTTTTGTCTACCTTCTTTTATAATTATATTTAAATTATAATTCAATAATTTTTCTTAAATACCAATAATTAATAGTAACATAATATTGTAATTTAAATTGTTTATCTCCAAAATATAATTTTTATATTCTAAGATATTCAGTTACTATAAATTTTAATTATGATATAATTAACATATTAAAATTTATTTATTTATTATAATTTTAATCATATAAAAATAAACATTTATAATCTACAATATATATACTAAAATATTAGTATTATATAAGTACAAAACAAGTAAAACAGTAGTAACCCCAAGCGCGTGGTTTAGCGGAAGGGGTTGATCCATGCTTAAGTAAAGTCAGGGATTCGAATCCTGCCTTGTGTATGCAGCCGTGTTAAATCTTGGGACCAACTATCTCACCGTTTGAGGTGCCTCCAACCTAGATACTCCAAGTGACAAAAAAAATTATTTAATTACTATATTACAAAATTAGACGTTTTTTTTTTCACAAACAGATTGATGCAAATTTAGAATAAAATAAAAACATGAATGGCAAGAGATGGAGTTAGAAGAAGAAATTTATTCCACTTTTAATTTTTCACATAATAATGTGAATATATATATATATAAAAAAATACTAAAAATACGAAGGAATAGAAATAGTCAAGCATAACTTACAAGATAAGTTGCTATAAAAAAAAAAAAAAACTTACAAGATAAGTTAGACGTAATTAATAATTAAAAGAAAATGTGAATAAGAAAATATATACTCAAAATATTTTTTATTAGATAACTTTATATCAAAATTTACTATTGGACTACGAGTTCTTATTATATAAAATGTATCTACAAAATCTTATATCAATCCACATTTGTTTGACACTCCATTAGTATACTTACAAATTTACATAATCATCCTTCTAAAATATATATAAAAATAAGAATCATTTGATTAGATATTTACAGTTTGTTCAATTTGATAAAATCTGAAATTAACAATTAAGATGATATATAAATATGACTCAATATGTATTGATTAAAAAAACATATTCTATATAAAACTATTAATTGTGTAATTTGTATTTATAACACAGGATTAATCTCATTTGGTGTCTACATTTTTCTTACCTATTTTATACTAAAAATACAGGGATAATCCTTAATAACTGTACATACACTCAAATAAAAAAACTATCCATCAACACAAACTACTATAAGAAAAATATATCATTTTCTCATTCTTTTAAATTTTAATACAGGCACGGAAGGTTTTTTTTTTTTTTTTTTTTTTTTTTTTTTTTTTCTAGTGATATATAATTATGGCATGTTCAAAGCACACAAAGCAATTACATAAAATTTAGAAATTGTGTGTACCTAAAGAAGAGCTTGAATCCACACCTTCTACCTTGATCAGTTTCGCAGGCAATTTCTATCCAGTAGCTAGTTTGGACACCAAGTGAAATTCCAATACATATGCACATTAATACTATAAGTTCAAATAGCAAATATGAAATATCTATCAATGTAATTTAAAATAACATAACATTAATTTTCATAAGCAACATTATTTAATAATGATTCAAAATAAATCTAATAATTAAATAATGTAAATAATGCTAATCCAAAAAAATCAACATAGCATGCAATCAACCATAATTTTTTCACACCCAAAAGGACGAAACGCACTCTTTAAATTCCAGGGGGCAGAACATGATTCCTTGTGCAAAATAACGCAACCAAGTTGTATGAGCCGGCCAGGTGCTTTTTTGATATCTATCATTAGAATATAGCTAACATCAACTTTGCTGGCCAATAATTAATTACTTTTTACTGAAAAGTCAGCTCGTGTTTAGGTTAAAGAAGTATCAAGTGGAAGAATCAAACCCAAAAATATATAGTCGTGTATCATCCAAGGAATATCCCCATACATATATGCCGCAATACGATAAATTTAATAATGCAATGATCCTGCAATATTTAGGGTTGGTTCAGTAAAGAGAATAATGACTAAAAGACGTACATAATTACCATAAAATATGTTGATGACAAATACCCACTCATCGCTGCTTTCCATTTAAAATTGCATATTGTCAATTTTTGTATGTTTGAAGATTGAAATGGGATTTATTAAAATTGGTATTGTAATAGTTGAAAAAGAAATGAATATGGAAGAGAGATGATGTTAGGATATGATGATATAATCGCTTATCTGATACAGAGAAAATTTGTATACAACGTACCCTGATTCATATTGTAGATTTCTATTCCTCACAGATATATAATGAAGTTATTTGCATAAGATATATTCTAGAATTAGACTAATTCTCAAAATGATTTTATAGAATGCACAGTGTACATCACAGAAAGCACAATGTATTCACAGTAGTTTTAATTCCTCAAACCAGACATCATTAAACATGCTTTTTAATTTGTATTGACCTCAACGAATAGCCATCATATCTTCCTTCTGCCAGAATCTTCAAAATGATTCAAGTCCTAAACTGATAAAACAGGCATAATAGATGCATACAAAACAAATAGTTTTGAACTTCAATTCAGATTAAATAGCTTTAGGTTTGTTGATCAAGTTTTCAAATGCTAACAAAGAGGGTTATTAACATCTAATAAAATAAGTGTAGTTTCCATTCTTTTCATTATTGCAGGAATCCTTATTATATCAAATTGATGAAACTATAAAGCAACATAAACTCCAACTGACTCATATATTGCAATTTATCTCTATCAAACCGGTGTCAATCCTAGAAAGGCAGATCAATCATGTATTCCAAGATGCACTGTGAGATCAACATAACATGGTATTTCAACTTGAAATATACAACATAAAAGATTAAAAAGAAAGATGAGTTACAGTTAAAAATAAAACTTAATTTATACTAATCAATTTAAAATAGTGAATACAGAGTATGCCATGAAAGAAGATTTATGGGTCAGAATTTGTAATCACGGGAATTCAATGCCAAGTTACTAGTCCCATCAAAATAGTGGCATCAATTGGAACCTTCTTTGAGTCATCAAACAGGGCAATACACCATTTAGAAATGGGAACAACAACAATCAAACCTATCGAAACCACAATAGATAGGTTTAAAGGCATGGATCACTGACACAATTGAACTCTATCAAAAAGCAAACTATTTTCCAACGTCTTCATCTATCCTTTTAATCAGACTGCCTTTCATTTGATTCACATTTCTTATTACAATCTCCAATATTATTGTCACATAACCAAATCATTGTAGACAAATTTTTTACACCTCTTCAAAAGTTGCTACTCAAAATTTTCTCCAAGATATTCATTCCTATGATTATCTTTTCTCGTATGTCCACACATCAAAATTAGCAATCTCATCTTCTCTATGCCTATACTAATTTATGTGCTTTTGTTGACACTTCACTACCCAACATTCACTTCTCGAGTATTATTGTTGTTCTTAAAGTTGTTCGGTAGAATTTTCCTTTAAGTTTGATAGACACTTTGTGATCACAAATTATGCTAGGCCAATTTACTCAACTTCATCTAACTGCTTAAATCCTATGCGTAATATCCCCCATCAAACTTTCAATATCTTGCAAGATGGATCCATGATACCAAACCATGCAACTTCTGAAAAGATGTGATCCTACTTTTTCACCTTCAAAACAATGCTAACTCATTTTTCATAGTACTTATACTCATATACTCTGTTTTACACTTAATTGTAAAAAAAAAAAGCCTTTGATTCCAAAGCATCTACCAAAAATGCAAGATTCTAAATATAGGACCATGTCATTCACAACAAGCACGCATCCAATTATGGATGTATTCAATAAAGTATGTCCAATACTAAAGATAAAAAGGCATGAACTTAAAGTTGGACCTTGGTGCAAAACAGCTAATTGCTCGGGTGTTCCGCTATTCATTTATCATCATCGCCTTTCAGAAGATTGTATAATTTGACATGTGTTTGTCCAAACCTTATCATGTTAGAGATGAAATAAATCCATATATGATCATTCATCTAATAACTTATGACTTCAGAAGAGTTAGCTCTAACAGGAAAAATGCTTCATAATCACTGAAACCCTTCAAACAATGATATCTTCGTCCACAATGCCATTCTTAGAAAACAAAAGATAACCACATTATCAGCATGTCTGGTCATTGCATGTTGAACTTTGACATTGTAATCCACTGACTAGAATCTATAAAGAAATCCAACTAGCCAAGAGAAAATAAAGGAGTATGTCTGGTTGAAAGAATAAAAGAGTAAAAGACATGTCCTTTGATCTTGATTCCCCTATTCCACTTGTTGTCCACTATACCGATTCATAAAGTGGTTCCAAGGGAACAAAGAACAAGTCACTTGATCTTCCATCCTTTTCAAAGATATACTCATCCAACAGGCCTAACCAGTAACCCCTCCTACACTTTTCCTTCTACTTATAAGGGACTAGCTGGGTTATTGTTTTCCCATACCATTGCTTGACTGAAGCAATCATTTCTTTTCTCTTTCAAGTTTGTGAAACTCACTAAGCCAATTCCATTTTCCTAAAGTCTTTATTATAGCCAGTTAATATTACCATTGCTTAAGACTGCCCTTAAGTTGAAACTTCATCTTCAAACATTCAGATGGCATCATCTTGGACCCCAAGGCAAAACAAACTATTTGAAAGTGCCCTGGCTAAATTTGATAGAGAAACCCCAGATAGGTGGCAGAATATTGCCAACGAGGTGGGAAAATCAGTAGAGGATGTTAAAAGGCACTATGAGATCCTCAAAGAAGATATCAGACGTATTGAGCATGGTCGAGTGGCATACCCCTACAGAACAAACAATTCCAACAGTAATTAAGGCATCAGTGTCAAATGGCACAGGTATTGCACCCCCTTTTCTTGATATTCCAAAATCATTTTAGTTTCAAGAGTTCCATTTTTGCAAAAAAAACATAATCTATAATCCTCATATAAAATAAAAAAGAAAAAAAGTTAAAAACAAAATCGTTGCCTTAACCAGTTTTAAATTGACACTTGCAACTTAAAGAACCATACTTGCTATTGTAATTACATCCCATTCGCCAGTTAGAGAGGAAGCACCGGGCATTCCTTCATGAAACTCTAATCAGGATTCTATAACCTATCTGACTGAAATTTCAGTACTTGTTCTTCTCTTTACATTTTGGTCTAGACCATTTATTTTCTATTATAACTGAAGCTGTCTTCAACACTTTCCTATTAGTCTAATCAAATTCCCAACATTAAACCCTTTCTGGACATATGCAACAACACAGTTCACTAACTTAATTTCCCTTTTTTCTACCATTGGCAGGTTATTGATCCAGAATTCAGCAAACTTGAAGACTCATGATGATTATAATCATATCCGCTATAGTTAAATAAAAATAAATGAAAGTACCATCATCTGTGAACTGTGAAAAAAAAAAAAAAAATCTAACAGTAAGCAACCGTGTGATTGCTAGTTTTCTAGTGTTGAAATGTATCAAACGGATGTATTTACATTTTACAAATTAATCGTGTTTATAAATAAGTACAAATTATGAATAAAGAATTAGTTATTTTATTTCTCTATCTACAACAACTATGATCAAATACTCCTATGCGTGTGCGGTTACCAAAACAAACAAATGCAAGTTCCAACAACAAAATGCACCGAATAATAAGCGTAATGGATAATCATGGTTACCCGTACGATCTAATTAATTTTTTTTTCCGCTTAAAATAAGAGGGACATAAATAAAAAAATAAAATTAGAAAAAAGTAATGGTGCGGGGATTGAGTGGTTTACCTTGAGGATTCTGGATTCTAGGGAAGTTGGAAACAAATGGTGATGCTGTTTTGAGAGCGAAGGGAATTTGGAAGCGATGGGGAAAAGTGGAGCACCGTATCTGAAGAAATGCGAGTCAATGGGAACAGGTAAAGTTCGTCTTAGAAGGGAACAAATGATGAAAAGGTGAAAACAAATTAAGGAGTTGAAAATTTAAATCGTTAGCCAAAATAAATTAAAAAAAAAATGGAAATGAAATCCAAGGGATAGATACTTGGATAGTGGGTACGATTTGGTGATTGATACACCTTGTGTGAAGCATCTTTGCGATGCAAAAGTTTTAAAAAGGTGGCAAGTAATGGTTGTACCGTACTTGCTACGTAGGTGTAACTTTAGCGACAGAATGGTTGGATATTCCATTCAACAAATTTCAGTATAAAATTAAGAAGAAGAAAAAATCGGTGTGCTTACATGTTAATGAGATTATTAAAATTTTATCTTAGTCACTATACTTATTTAAGAAGTTTTTTTTTTTTTTTTTTAGAGGTGAAACTCATTTGATAAGTTTTTCTAACATTTAGTTGAGTAAGTAAAGTCTTAATTGGCCTTTGCTAACCTTTAGTTGAGAGTATCTAAAGTTCTAAATTAAGTTAAATACTATTAAGTTTCGACTAATCACTAAATCGATAATTATACTTGATTTAAAGATTTGTAACATGTCGTTGACTTTAGGGAGAGAATAACATGTTCTTTTAAGGAGGCCTTCATCCCCTAACATTTTTCTAATTATTTTTTTATACGTAATTTAAAATTTTTTATTTTATATTTTTATAATAAAATAAATATATTTAAGTGCTATTTATTTTTTATTCGATAAAATATTTTTTTATAATCTTTGTTATGGACATTATAGTATCTTCTCTTAGGAAAAATATTTAAATATCATTTATTTTATCTTTAATAGTTTTTATTTTGTGTATTTTAAAAGCTATATATTTTGTAACAATCTGCATTAAGAGAGATTCAGATATTTGTACAAGTGTAAGATTGTACAGTTAAGGAAGATTCAATAAAAAAATTAATTTGTACTTATATACCAATAAGATGCATCTACATTTCAATAGTTTATAACTTAAAAACGTTACAATTAAATGTGTTTCACTTGAAACAATTTAGAGATAAGTGACTTTTTGAAAAATTTCTCAAAAAATGTGAGTGTGAGGATAAAACACACTAAAATGTTTTGTGTTAGTTTGTGGGGATAGTCAATAGTCTTAAAAGCAATCGAACATCTAAAAAAGTGTTATCTATGAAGAATTTTGATCAACGAAGAGTTGTATGAAGTGTCACCTTATAAAGTATGATAAAGTGCAACCATGGAAACATCAAATTTGAGTGAGTGTTACATATTATTTTTATAAAAGAAATAACTTTATTAGTATCTTTATATTAATTTTAAAGATAGAGAATATTTATTAACATTTTTGAATGACACAAACTTATAAATTCTAAGAGGGATCAAGAATTTAAAGTTTAAACATTTAAACATATAAACAAATGTTTTTTTTTATCCCCGTCATTGTTGTTGTCAAATTCTCTTTATTTTATTTTTTTATTTTGTCTTTATTTTTTTAAAGTATTTTCTAGGTTCCACCATTGAGTGTAAAGATTCAAACACATTAGTATAAAAGTTTTGGGAGAACAATTTTTATACAATTGTTGACTGTTATTTTCGTCAAAGATAATTTAATACTGTAACATAATTTATTATCATTTAACATATTTCTATCATATATTTAGCATATGAAATATAGTTAATATAAATGTCATTTTTTATTATAAATTTTTGAAGCTTTGCAATAACACGTGAAACTAATGATTAAATATTTGTAATATCAAGTTAAAAAATATATTTAATTTATTTTCATGAAAAAATATTTTCTGTTATATATTATTGAATCGATTAACAAAACACACAATTATAATATTTTACATAAAGTATAATGTTCATGTATAAACTAGATAAATTCTTATTCTTAAATTTGGCCCTCCACTTCATCCTGGTTGACTTTCTATCCAATAATTTTGAAGTATCATCCCTTATCTATTATATATATATATATATATATATATATTATATATAGATAAACATGTTAACAAGATGTTACATCCTCTTTGAATTATAATTTGTTAAGTTTAAATAATTTATTTTTCTATATTTTAATTTATTTTTCTTTTTAGTCATTTAAAATGTCTCATTTTAATCCTTAAACAAATCTTTTGTTTTTATTTTAATTTTATCATTTATTTTTCATTAACGTTTAGTTCTTATAATTTTATTTACTTTCTCTTTTAATCCTTATAGTTTTATTTGTTTTTTCTTTTTAGTTCCTATAGCTTTATTTACTCTTCCTTTTAGTTGTATGATTTAAAATATATCTTTTAATCTATATATATAGACCTTTTCCCCTTTAATCCCATCATTTATTTTTATTAACATAATTTGTGTTGTGATGAAGTGACAAAATCCACTTCAAAGTGTCATTTTTTATGTGAAATATTTTTTTTAATTGTTGAAGTTACTTTATATTAAGTTTCATCACCAACTACTACAACTTAGTTCTTGGTTTTAAATTCATAACTGCAATGGTCATTATTGAGGTGTCCTAATTATAAAGTAATGTAGTTTTGATTTTAGTTGATTTCAAGTTCTATTGCAAGTGTTTTTTAATTTTTGGTTATTATTTTTCATTTTAGTTTTTGATGCAAGTGATATATAGTTGTGGGTACTTCCAGTGGGTAGATAGGGTGACATATGAACATACCTCCTATATGTCATCTAAATAATTGTGGTTAATGTTCATATGTGATTTGGAGATGAAAAAAATCTTTCATTCTAAATATACCTCTTGCATGTCATCTGAAGACTTGTGGTTAAATTTTTTTTTATTACAAATGTTCATATTGAAAGAGATAAAAAAAATACAAAAGGCGATTGAATATTGTAAAATCAAAAGACAATCTTGAAATATCTCAAAAGGCTATAAGTGTTAATGATGAGAAACAAATTTTCTTTAGGAAACTATTTTAGACAAACAAACATCAAATTTTGTCTATAAGACGAAGGACATCTGACGAAGCAAACAATTTGAATCAATGCTATATTTATTTCTTGTTATAAATTCATATTATATTTTAAGAGCATTGAATACTTTATTCCTTAACATATCGAATGAGAAAGCTTCCTCGAAGGCATCAAAAAACTGCTAAAAATGGAAAGTCAAATCCTTGTGTCAAGAAGAAAGAGAAAAATCTCTAAACTCATGAAAAAACAGACATGAACTATGAACATATTGCACTACTCTGATTTAGCCACTACTTTTCACCTTACCTAACGAAATGATGATGAGTAGCTGCCAATATCAGATAAGAGATGAACATCTTCATGCAAAGCATTAAATGCTTGCAGTAACAACTAATTTACTCTTTCTTTTTGATCTCGAAGATAAGACAAACAAAACATCTTGAGAAGATTGCTCAATGGTCATTTTCTTCAAAGCTATTATATAAGGGATTCTCAATTAAGACAAAAAAAATGAAGAAGGACAGAGATATACAATACAAGAGACAACAAGGGAAAGTAACAAGAAAAGAAACGAAGTTCATACCTTGTAGATACATTATGTCTTGAACAGTTTATTTGAGCTTAACTTTCATAGCATCACATCTAGAAGAGACGAAACTATCTTTGTAACTCTTTTCAAATTTCTATTTGTAAGGGTTGAACCTAAAGAGACTTGTTGAAAGAATACTTAATGTTTGAGCTTGGAGAGGCTTATTGAAAGAATACTTAGTGTTTCAGCATGAAGAGACTTATTTAAAGAATACTTAGTGTTTGAGCCTGGAGAGGTTTGGTTGAAAAGAATACTTGGTGTTGAGAATGTAGAGGCTTGTTCAAAAGAATACTTGGTGTTGAGCCTGGAGAGACTTGTTGAAAGAATACTAGGGTAGTTGCTTGAAGAGGCAAGTCAAAGACTACTTAGGTTTAAGCTAGAAGTGGCTTGTCGAAAGAATACTTATACCTTGAAAAAAGATAGTAAGGCTCAATCTGGTTGGATTGAAAACTAAACGTAGTCTCTGTGTTTGAGACAAACCAGTATAAAAGATCCGTTTTCCTTTGTCTGTTGCATTCTAGCACTTCGTCTGTCAAAGTTTTTACTACTTCATTACATTTCAAATAGTGCGAGTTTTTGATACATACTATTCAACCCCCCCTCTAGTGTGTATCTTTTCTCCAACAAATATCTGTGTGTAAATTTTCATAAATTTTTTTGTAAGGATGATTGAAGCAAATATAAGTTGTAAAGCAATTTCATCTAGAAAAGATGTAGACCAAAAGAGAAAGGAACTTAAGTGTTTTTATATTGATTCACTCAACTTGAGCTACATCTAATTACCTTCAAACTACAAAGGTTTCACTTACACAAAGGATAATACAAGTATTCTCACTACCATAAAATATTGTTTACTTAGTATTCTTTACAACTAGTTTGTTTAGGCTCAAGGTAAAGTGTAAGGTAGCGCTTTACAAGGTAACTCTGAAGGAAAAAAATATTTAAGTTTAACGCACCAAGATTAACTTGATGAGACAAGGATAAATCTATGTAGGCTAGAACACTATTCATCTAATGGAAAATAACTTAAACTTATACAAGGTTTAAGAGAGCGAATAGTTCAACTAAGTTTTGGCACAACTAAAGCGTAGAAAATTCGATACTTTAAATTTTCATATAATA